AAAAAAAAAAATCTAACCTCCATACATAGCATTCTTTTGGGGGGGGGGAATGGTGGGGGGTTGGCTGGCGAGTATAGGGATCTAAGCCTTTGACCTTGGTGTTTTAACACTGCATACCATTCTTATACCTAATAAATATTTAATAATATTAACAAATATCCCAGTCAGGGAAATTTTTTTTTTTTTTTGTCCTTTTTGAGACCAGCCGCCCAGCGCTCAGCCAGTGAGCGCACCACCGGCCATCCCTATATAGGATCCGAACCCGCAGCGGGAGCGCTGCTGCGTTCCCAGCACCGCACTCTACCGAGTGCGCCACGGGCTTGGCCCCCAGTCAGGGAAATTTGTTTTTAGCACCCCATAGGCCATCTTTACCCTTAGACAATGGTTCTCTACCTTGCCTACACTTTGGGATTATCTAAGATGCTTTTACAAGATTATAATTCCCTGTTCCCATAGCAGACAAATTGAACCTGAATGTAGTGTTATTTTTAAAGTTGCTCAGATGATTTTGATGCACAGAAAAAGTTGAAAGCTATTCGAAGATCTCTGTGGCTGAAAGCTATAGTTGAAGAGTAGTTGCTAAGGGGAGGTATAGATCTGATCACTTTGAGTTTCAAAAAGAATGTAAAGTGGAACTAAGTGCTTATTTCTGTCTGATACATATTAATACTCATATTATGGATATATTTTCTTCATTAAAATAGAAAATTCAGAGTGTAGGCTAGTAAACTTGGAATTTTTTTTTTTTAGGCTGCTGAGAAACTAGGTGAAACTGAGAAACTTAGTATAATGATTGAAGAATGTGGAGGCTTGGACAAAATTGAAGCTCTACAAAACCATGAAAATGAGTCTGTATACAAGGCTTCATTAAACTTGATTGAGAAGTATTTCTCTGTAGAGGTGAGTAATGGATGGTGATATTAACAGCAACTTGGAAAACACACATGTAAGGTCAAATGCAAAAGGTTTTTTTCCATCTTTTTTTTTTCCCCTAATATTTTTAAAAATGGGCCCTGTACCCTTGTTAAACTATAGCAAAATGTCAGTGTACGTAGGACATGATGTACTTATTTGTTCCTCTAATGTGTGGCTTGATGATAATACAGATCTTTTTAACCTGCGATTTTAGAAGTCACCAGTTTACTTTTAAATGAACAGCCTTGGGAATCTTAGAGTATCTTGAATAAGTCTGTGGATGTCATTGTAGGAGTTGATGGAGAGGTGGGCAGCCCCACGACCAAACTCTGGGCTTAGTAAACAGTCTTTTCCTTTGCCAACTGAAAAGTGATAGATGTAGAAGAAAAATCTCAACTTATTTTTCTGTTACTGTAGTAGCATTCCTTAATTCAGGCATTCACAAACTCGCCAAGTTTCAGCAAGCCCTCCCTCCCTATGTCAAATAGTAGAATACGGTATAAGATTAAAGATGAAATATACAAATGAAGACCTTAAGAGTAAATATAGACTTCTAGGCAGGCTGCTATTTAGAAATGTGCCATATTTATGGAATTATATTATTGTTTTTAAATATTTTTAGGAAGAGGAAGATCAAAATGTGCCAGAAACTACCTCTGAAGGCTATACCTTCCAAGTTCAGGATGGGACTCCTGGGACCTTTAACTTTTAGATTGCACAGCTGAGGCATAAAGTTTGTTGTGTACTATGTTTAGTATAAGTTTGTCTTTACTGTTTCTCTAAGAACTCTTTTTAAATGTGGTTTGTTATTGTAGCACTTTTTACAATGAAACTATACTTGACTTGAACAGTTCCAGACTGTACATACTGTATGAAGCTTGGCCTCCGAATGGTTTCCTATTTCTGTGTGGAATTTCATATCTAGTAGTGTCCTGTAAATAAAGATTAAATTCCATCCTTTACTTCACCATGTCTATGTGTTACTTTCTAATTTGGGGCTCGTTAGTGTTGCAAATGAAGGGTAATCCAACCAAACAGATGGGACTAACCAGTGGTAGTCCTGATTGCCGATATCATTTGATGTAATGTTTGTGATGTAATCAAGGATACAGGGGTGATAACATTTTTCCTGCCTGATTCTGAGTCTCCTGGCTTTGGTCTAGGCTGCTTCTCCTCTTGATGATAGTGGCTATTGGCACTTAGAGACTTAACATCTCTTTACACCAGCCAGAAAACATTTCAGAAGTTTTCATAGAATGAATAAAATTTCCCAGAAACCTTCAGCCATTGTCTCAAGTCTCACTGGCCAGGGAGATTGGATGCAAATCTTAAATTTAATTGCAAATCTTCTGGAGCTACAAGTGGAATTCATTCCTCCTAAACTTCAAGGCCGAAAGTGGTTCCAAGGTGAAACCTGACTGCATGTCAGCATCACCCACAAAAGTTTACCCAGAAATTCTGTTTAATTGGTGAGAGGTGGAGGTCCAAGTGTTACATCTTCTTTTCTAAATGTAATTCCTGGGTGCTCTTGTGCAGTGTGGCCTGATAGCCACTGCTCTAAGGAATAGCTGTTCTTAAGAACAGGAATAAGAATTCTGTTCTTAGGGCCGGCCCGGTGGCGCACTGGATAGTGCACCGCTTGGGAGCGCGGCGGCACTCCGGCCGAGGGTTCGGATCCCACATACAGACCGGTTCCCGCTCACTGGCTGAGCGAGGTGCGGGCGTGACACCGAGGGTTGCGATCCCGTTGCCGGTCCGGTGCGGGCGCAACACCGAGGGTTGCAGTCCCGTTGCCGGTCTGGTCTGGTACGGGCACGACACTGAGGGTTGCGATCCGTTGCCGGGCGTGAAAAAAGACAAAAAGGAAAAAAAAAAAAAGAATTCTGTTCTTAGCGGGAACAGGAAATGGATTCTAAGAAGAAACCACAAAGTGTTAACTATAGTACCTTGTACATCTTAGGAAAAATAAAATGGACCTTAACTTTAAAGGACTACCACCAGTTTCTGCTCATTTGATTAGTGGGAAAGTAACAAGCCAAGCTTCCACCACTCAAATCTGACTTTGGAAATCTGACAGCTTTGATTGCTTTTTTTCCGCATAGAAGGTAAAAAGCTATGGTGGTAGAGGTGGGGATGTGGGGGTAAGGGTAAAGTTGAAAGTGGTTTATGACATTTTTAAGAGCTACTGTATCCCATAAAATAAGACATTATTTCAAGGCAGTAGTACAATGCATTTACCTTCTCTTGACTACAAACATAAGGATTTTCTTCCCTCAGTTCAACAACGTGCACATAAAATGCAGTTTGCCTGTTGCAGATAACAGGATTTTAAAGTTCCCATCATGGAACAGTGTTTAGTGCTTATCTTGTTGGGTGCAGAACTAGAGAACACTGGCTCATGCTTAGTTGAAGCACTTCCCACAGCTAATGTGGGGAACACGAAACCTCGTGGTCCTTACAAATGTAGGGCATTTTGCATGGAGACCTTGGTCACTTTCTCAGCTGTTTGTGTACAAAGGCTCCTATAAAAGGGAGGTGGAAGAGAAGTAACAAAACTGTGGCTCTACAGACTGCCCTCTCCCACCTACTTCTTGCTCCTCTCTTCCTTTCCCCAGCTTGAGTCCCTTTTGGATACCAGATCCAGAAGTCTTCAGTTTGAGAAAAGATAATATAGAAGTAAAACTTGACACCCTAGGTTTTTGCTTTAAGATAGGGGGAGCTTAATGGCTTCAGAGGGACTAGTGTAATAGACATGTTGATAAAAAGTGTGAGGTCTGGACTGTTAAAGGCATGACCCAATAGTGAGGTAATGGACAGGAGATAGCTGATTTCCAAAAATACATTTTTCATATTTTAGATAAAATTCTTACTAGTGTGCTAGTTTTCTTGGAGTTGTTAGAATCCATACAGGTATTTGGATGTTTTTATTTAACTTATCTGTGGGTAAAATTTTGTATCTTTGAGGATGACTTTTAATAACCAGTTGGATTTTATTATTTTTATTTGTATTTTTACTTTTTTGAGGGCTGGCCAGTAGAGAGATAACTAGCTTGATTTTTAAAAGTCATGATAAAAACACTATATGGCCACCAACTTTTCCCTCTTTCATAAAGTAATAATGTCTAAATTGCTGGTGATTTTATTTTGTTTTTTTGGCACAGGCCGGTGTGGCTAGTAATTTATTAATGCACCAAAATTTTTAGCTTCCCAGCAGTCTTAAATCTCACTTGACTCATTTAAGACTAATAAATTATTCATCTTAGCCTGTACCTGTTTCATATTTATGTTTGTTGTGGTAGGTAAGTGAGGGTGGGAAGGTAACATTTCTAATTTCACGAGGCAATCATCAAAGTAAAAACTGCTAACGTATTTTGCTTGTTGCACTAATCTTTAGAGGGTAACACTATCACTAAATGATTGAACATCAGTATTGATTTTTTAAATTGCTACATTGTATCTTGGCTTTAGTTGTATCAAGCTACTTGACTGTTTTCGAGCAAAGTGAAATAAACATTCTATATTTTAAGGTTGTTTTTTTTCCCCTCAACCTTTCTGTGGCGGCATCATCACTGAAAGGTTAAGAACTTGGGATAATTTCTTGTTATTGTAAATCCTCATTGTTAAATAAGATTTTTGCTTCAGCATTTGGCCTCTTTAATTGCTCCTTTTTTTTTTTTTTTTTAAAGCTTGTCAGAACCAGGTCAATTAAAACTAAAATTGTGTTCACCAAAGAGGTGTGTTGCTTTCCATGCTATCAATAGCAGTGAGGGCAAAATCTTCAGTTTTGTTAGTATGGGCAGTTGGAAACCTTGACACAGGACCCAAGTTCAGAAGGCCATTAGGGAAGTGCAGCTGGCTTCTCCTTACCTCCCTCCTCTTGCTGAAGCTTGCCAAAACCAGCAGACTGATTTGGAAACCCTTGAAACATGTCATTAATGGTGCTTTCTTTTGAGATTGGGCTGTTGACCTAATTTGTGATGAACAAATCCTGGCCAAATCATGAAGTACCCCCACCCCCAAGGGAAAGTGTTAGTGAAAAGTGTTTTACCAACATTAAGGACTTAAGTTTCATAACCCCATCTAATAAAGATGATAAAAAACACCCAAGCTATCAAGTAGGGTTTTTTGAGGGCAGAAGTGCAATTTCATTTTGAGCATTTGTATGTTGAATGGCATGTTGCTGGCATAGTTTGAAAGCATAATTCTGGTGTCTCTAAACGCCCAGTTTCTCCTAAATGCTTGGGACAGTTTCATAACACTGTGTGGGAGTTGCATGCACCAAACCCTTTTAAATTGATCAGTTCATGCATTCTTCCAAGGCTTTTTACAATCATAAATTGTAGTTCTGGGAGATGGTGTGGTGCAGTGGAATGGGCTAGTATTTAGAAGCCAGATCTGCCTGAGTTCAAATTTTGCCTCTTCCATATGTCAGTGAATGATTTTGGGGCAGTTAAAGCAGCATAGTCCCTGGCGTGAAAGAAAGTACAGACACTGATACTTATTTCTACCTAATACAAATATCCCGGGTAAGTATTACAGCTATTCCCTACCTTTTAACAACAAAGATGTCTTTTAGTTCTTCCATAAACCCCTGTTTTAATACACATTATCGACTAGGCTAAGTCTATTACTCTTCCTTTTTTTTTTTCTTATCAATCACAGATGAAAATTAACATGAGATCACCACACTAGATTGTTTCCACTCTCAATGATAGGATTCTACCTAAAAGTGGGATGTTTTGTCAGCCTTTTAGGGCTTTTAGAGGCTTGACAAAGCTTTCTGAGCAGCAGCACTGGCCTAAGGAAGGCCTACCATGACGTTCGTGGAGCAGCTGTCCCAGTGAGAGTGTTCTCTTCCTGCAGCCCCTGTTTCCCTTTCTCTTAAATCTATTGGACGGAATAATTAGAGCATTTCCTCATCTACCTTCTTACTGGCCCTGAGAACAGTCATCTGAGCCACCCAAGTCCAACTTGGCAATGGTTTGCTTAGAAGCTTGTCAGTATAAACAACTGATAGACCCTTATTTATTAGTGTTATGAAACTCCTTGAATGAACAAATGCTCAACTGTTAAGACAATAACAGGGCTGGTCGGTTAGCACAGTTGGTTAGAGCACAGCCTTACAATACCAAAGTCATGGGTTCAGATCCCTGTACTAGCCAGCTGCCAAAAAAAAAGGACAGCAACAAAGTTGTATCTTCTACTCTTAAGAAGCTTTCGGGCCGGCCCGGTGGCGCACTGAATAGTGCGCCGCTTGGGAAGCGCGGCGGCGCTCCCGCCCGAGGGTTCGGATCCCACATACAGACCGGTTCCCGCTCACTGGCTGAGCGAGGCGCGGGAGCGACACCGAGGGTTGCAGTCCCGTTGCCAGTCCCCGGTCCGGTACGGGGGCAACACTGAGGGTTGCGATCCGTTGCCGGACACGGAAAAAGACAAAAGACAAAAAAAAAAAAAGAAGCTTTTATGTTTAGAGCTCAAACAAGTTTAGGCAGAAATATTGGAAACTTATCCATGAAAACAAGGGAATATGAGGAAGGATTAGTTGAAAAGGTATAATACACAGAAGGCAGCTCCTGATTGTAGAAGCAAAAAATACATATTACGTTTTAGCAAATCTGTTGGAATATAGGAGAAATGTAGAAAAACATGTAGAAATGAGAACACCTTTTTTGTCCTTTTGGCTTAGACCAAAGTTTTAGGTGACCAATGACTGTAACCCCACTTTATTCTTGCCCCATCTCTCACATCAGTCACTCTGTGATCATTAACTTAGTGAGCAGGAAGCTTATTCTTCTTCTTTTTTCCTTCTTTCCTTCCTTCCTTTCTTGCAGCTTTTAAAAATAACTTTTCTTAGTTACAGAAGTAATACTAATTTTAGAAAATTTGAAAAACACAATATCACAGAGATTAAAATAACCTAACAGTTGGTTAGAACATGGTACTGATAACACCAAGGTTCAGGGTTTG